GGTGTGCTCTGTGTTCCTTGGATAATGCTTACATTGCAACAAGAAAGACACTTCGAAGTTCGAAGGGACGTTGAAACTCTGGTACAAGCCGATTGGCCGATAAAGCGAGACTTTGACGAATAGGCTTGGATAGCTTTGAGACAAGAAGTCGAGCGCGGACGGTCTAGTCGGTAGAGCTTTGCAAGCTCGGCTCGGCACTTCACAGGCACCTGAATGACAAGCGGCTGGGTGGGTGGCGACGCCCATCCGCTAATTTTTGAAGCGTGCTTGTATGTGTGCTGACACGCCCAACTTGGCCAAAAGCAGGAGTGCCCAAGTGATTGAAACAAAGAATTATATACTGTAAATAATTGGATGCATATCATTTGTACCTCTCTCCACTCTCCTTTCATTCCATCATGGATTTTATCATGATGTTATTTTTATTGATCCTTCCATCCATCTACTTGTATCCGTGCAATCTCCAAGCTACTGTGTAATTATGTGTCTCCCTTCCTAGATACCCGCCCAGCTGACCTGTCTGTACATTCTGCCCCAATTTGTGTTTCTTTTTCCAATCTAAGCCATGTCTTGAACACGTGTGACGAATCATGACAAATCCGTGAATGCAAGGTGACGATCCAACACATCCCCTCCATCAGTATCCACACCTTATCACTCTGTTTGCTGGACATCCATTCATCACTGCATCCACGCCGGGCCAAACTCACCCCACTTTGTCGTTCATCCGGGAGTCATGCATCAAGAGGGGTAGAGGAAATGGCAGAAGAGAAAGAGACAAAGAAAGACTGGAAGTGGATTGAGGTGGGCGGGAAAAGGACAGAAAAAATCATTGAAAGAAGAGAAACCGCTCATTAGTGCCCAGGTGCGGGAAGGACGATGTGGGCGGCTGTGTCTTGAGCACCCGACGCCCAAGGTGGAATGCTAGGCCGGGCCGGAGTTTTGACTGCACAGGGATTTGAGAATTGGACTTGGGAGAATGCTAACAAAGTAGATGACAATAGTACATGCTCATCATTCTCAGTGATGTAAAAAGTGAAGCATCACGGTTTAATTAATGGCGTATTAGCTTGCAAGATACATATTGATTCATGTCCGCTGTATGTTAACCTTGTGCCTGGCTGGCCATGGACATTGCCCGCGCTACTTCAGGCTTCAGGCTTGCAAAATCTTTGGTAGTTTCAGTGGTTTGCATCGTGCAAATCGTGCCCGCACAGAATGTAGCTGCGAGATCCTTTGAATCAATGCTCCGCTATGCAATTGATGTCACCATCATTCATTGGCTTAAATTCATACTCACCTCGCACCGACTTGCACCACCGCCAGTGACACACGACCGAAGGATATATCTGCCTTGTGCAGCCAGGCATTCACCCGGTCACTCCACCAGTAAATTGGTGCAAGGAATAGTAGCAAGAAGCTACTGGTAATTAGGGCATCGCTATGCAAATAGTTGTACGAATCTGCCAAGAAGGGCTTGTGGCCTTCGCCCGTTGCGCAAGCCAGCCTCCCAGACCATTCTTCAGCTGGAACCAACTTGAGCTGGGCTTTCAAGTTATCAAATTTGAATTGCCAATTGCATTTGATGCTCTTTGGTCCCCAGCAACCGCATGTACAGGCGCTCGCATTTTCAAAGAGAGGGCTTTCTTCTTGCGCTGACACTGTGGTTTTGTTTCTATTTGTCCTTGAACCTCCAATGCAAAGAGATTTATCGTCGTTTGTTGAAATCAATCGTTTGACAAAAAATCATGTCATTCTTGTCGATTCGATAAAAAACCTAGCGTTTCATATAAAAACATTACCGGCACAGTCAAACAGAGAGAAAACAACTGGAACGACAAGGAAATGGGATTTGCGGGTATTTGCTAGCGTTTGCGGATATTTGCGGGCGTTTTGCGGGTAATTCTTGTCGAGCGTCCCATCTTAACCTTTGGCAGTCAGGACACCAAAACTGAAGTAAATTACGAGAATCCAGGAAACTATGTCGTTCTTAGCGATTGTAGCGTTTACAGTTTTTGCTGGCAACATGTAGTCAAAAACAAAAACAACAAGAAAATTCTTGTCGTTGGAGGGTCCAGGGTTTGTTGATTCTGCACAAGACGACTAGTGACTAGACTAGAAGAGCGATAAACGAGTAATGTGTTTTGTATTTAGGTGGGATGCTGTTTGTTCCTGATTGATCCTGATTGTGTTTTCTTGATTTCGATACAAGACGGGATTCGGAAATAGATATTGCAAACGTCAGTTCTCAAAGTTGACTTTCTACGGCGGAAGATGTTCCGGTTTTTAAGACGACAGGTTTTGCACTTCTTTTGCGCCGCAGGCAGAAAACGTTGACCTTGGATTTTCGCGGCCGCTGCAGCATGGCTTCGGCCAAGAACTTCCAGCTGGAGGCAAAATCAGAGCTTTGATGAGCTTTGGGTTTGGGGGGACTTTGGTTTCATTTTTGTCCACTTATATAAGTTAGGAATAGTTAGGATTCATGCCCTTGACCTTCGGGGTTTCTGTTTGGTAACGATATGTGGTTTAAAGGATCGATGTGTTTTGAGGAACACACCGATTCAAGAGTTTCGTCTACACAACATGTTGCGTCCTCGGTGCCGGTGGCCCTTCTGAAATGCGTGCTCATATGCCGGAATGTGTGCCCCCCCATTAATAATTGCGCTACGGTGCTACTCCATTTGTTACCTGTTTTGCGGCTTTTCTGAAACTATTCTATTGCGAGAGGCTTTGGCTGTTGATTTGATCGATCCTTGTGGCCATCAAAAAACGGATTGCGGATGGTTTTCCCACATGCCCCTCCTCATTCTTGAACGCCTTCGGAAATTGAAGCCCATCGCATGTCGCACATATTCACAAGCTGCATACAATCGCCAAGTGCATCAAGATGATTTTGCATGCCTTTTTGTCTCTCTCTCTCTCTCTCTCCCTCTCTTTTTGTCTCCCTTGTGCCTCTTTAGTCCCTGAGTGAATTGTTGGCTCCATTTCACTCACGTGACGCAGGCCGAAAATGACCCCAGCAAAGTGGTGCTGCTTTTTTGGCAAAGCCAAGATCTGAGATCCACCAATGTGGTCCACCATGGTCCACCCCTAACTTCTGCCTGTGCATTCCATGATTTTCGTGTTGTCACTGACTATACTGACTGGCTGGCTTGTGCAGGTCGGCACAAATAAATTTGTGCTGGACTATGGCCATCCACTGGGCACAGTGCAGGTGACACTGCAGAGGCACTGAATTTGCTTCGTCTTTCGTCCATCCGACTCTGTGAGGCATTTGCAGCAGCTCTGACGGCCACGCATTGGAAATGAGACTCCGAAGGTGGATGACGGCATGTCACCTCAGACTGAGTCTCTGCAGCAATCTGCAGTAACTCAGTCGTAGTTAGATCTACTCTGAGCTTCCTACTTGGAAAAGTATAAAGTGCACGCCAATTCTTTATCGATTTTCCAAGATTCCCATACGCTGGGCGTTATTTCCATGTTGAGAGCTCTGGGGGATGGTCCGGATCATCCCGCCTCTGTCGGGATCAAACGACGAAGGACTTGAAGCTTGAAGCTCTGCAACACTGTGCATGATGGAGTTGCTGATGTTTTTTAAGAAAATTGGAAACCTTGCGGAAAAAAGAAACAGCATTTAGATATATTTAGATATTAATCTTGAAGGAGTCTAGAGTCCTATGTAGATCCTATAATAGTAGTCCTCAGATCCTTCAGAGGTGACAGGAATTCGTTTGTCTTGCGGCCAACGCCGAAAGACGCGACGCGACGACGCGATGCTTCGGCTTTGCTGCGAAGCCCAAGCGTCGCGACTTTGGATTTCCCAGACGCGCAAGTGAAACATAGTGAAATGGTCCTGAGCAGATGTAGAAATCAAATGAAATCAATATGTATCACTCGTCACTTGGCTAGCAAACAAAGTGGCTGAGCCAGAGCCAACTGGTTTATTGTTTGATCCATTGTGGTTATTCTTCTGGCTGTCGTGGAGTTGCTGATTTGGTTTGTTTCCTAGTAATTCCAGTCCTATGTATTTCATTTGCAGGTCTGTTTTTCCACGGCCACCACGCGGCACCACTGGCGCAGCGTGCGGTGTCTCTTCGCCGCCGTTCGCCGCCACACGTGGCCTGGGCCGAGACCCACCGGCGGCGGCAAGCGGCAGCAATCGGCTGGAGCCGGAGCTGCCGGGCTTTGCCGGGGCCGGAGGATATGCTCGATGGCCTCCAACCTAAGAGCGATTGCCTCCAACCTAGTTAGTAGCAATGGCCTCCAACCTAATAGCAAACCAATAGCCAGGGGCCGGAGGATATGCTCGACCGGATTTCGCCGAGTTCGCTTTGTCTCTTCCCTCCAATGAGGAGGAGACGAACAAGACGAATCGACCACTGAGCGCAGCAAAAAAGGTGTGACACGAGAAAGAAGACACACAAGAAAGACACAAAAGAGAGGAGAAAAGTGAAGCATGTCATTCCATGTTTGGAATAAATATGTAGGTGAATGGAGATCTTTTGTTCACTGGAAGAAAGGAATCGCGACTAGTCCATGAACCTCCATGATCGCTTTTCACGTCCTTTCACTAATGGGTTTTGGAATGTCCTTGGCGGTCGCCTTGCTTCGGTTGCCGGGACTGTGCTGATATCCAGGCTCCGAGCGCGAAGAAAAAGCACACTTTGCCGAAAGCCTGATGTGTTTTTTTTTCCTGTGTAATCTGTGTATTCATATTTGCGATATTTGTTGTTCTTATGTTTTCTTTGACGAAGCGAAAACCGCGGAATTAGGCAGCTTGGTCAGTGTATCAATGGCATGTTTGTGGGTACTATAGTATGATGTGCTGGATGCGCCCGCAGTGTTGCAGAGTCACCTTTCTTGCTCCGCACAAAAGTGTTGTGTTTGCAGCTTTGTGCGAACCTACTATTTGTTGTTTGTCCTGTTGTCAATTGTGCACGGTCCTTACAAAACCCCAGCACTTCGGCTATGACTACTCGAACAAATCCAAACTAAATCATCAATAAACAACCGCTCAAGTCTCCTATATTCGTGAAACATGTGTTCTTGAATATGATTTGTTCAGTCTCTACATTTTCCGCCTTCAAACTCGGAACGTTCTTTCCAAACTTGCTTCATGATGGTTTGTCAGCCTTTCTAGATTCTTGAGTTTCTTGCTCAAGTCGGCTTCTTAGATATATGTTACGTTCGAAGAGCATCCCAGCGAGTGGTCCTGCGAAGATGCTTGCAGTGTTCGAATGCGTTCGATGTTGGGCTACTGTGCGAGAAAGGTGGTATGAGAAGCTAGGTCTTCTATCAAACGCAGGTTGATTCTTGTTGATTCTGTGGCATATGCCGACCTTGACCGGCCTTGGCTGCTCGGACGCTCAAGATTTGCCTTGGCCCGTGCCGTTCGGGCACAAGCAGGCGACACCGTGTTTGTGTGCGGATGCAGCGGGATCCAAAGAGCCGTGATGCGGGGTGGCCGGCCACGGCTTCTTGTTCAGGTCTTCGCACATGGAGGAAAGGAGCCAAAGGAGCCGTGGATGGCAGGCAGGCTGCAAGGTACAAGCAGGAGTAGAGGTACCAGATGGTACCAGAAAATAAATTGAAAGGAAAGCAAAGTGAAACACGTCAAATGATGAGAAGCTAGGACGGTTGTAGCTGCGAATTATCTAGTCATGACATGTCATGACTGTCTTGAACTCATGGACCCTGGTGCAGGCGGTGCTTTTGCTGGTTCTTGGCCTGGTTGCAATAAGGCCGTTGCTGTCAGCAGGAAAGCAAAGCGCTGAGCTGCTCAACCCTTCCAGGTGTGCCATCTTTGATGCCTTTGTTGGAGCGCCGTTGCGTGAAAATCCGGTTGGGGCCTGAGCCTATTGCCTTTACGAGGTCGAGTTCATGGTGAGTGGTTTGATTTTGTGAAATTCCAGGTGAACCTTTTCAAGATAGGCGGGCCTGTCTTCGAACAAGCCAAACGGTGGGTCATGCTGCTCTGTTTTATTTGTGGGTCCCTAGGCGATGGAAGTTCGCTGCTTCCACGAAAAGCAGACCCAAACCAGCACCTTGGAATTCTCAAGAAGTTCACATTGTTGCCTTATAGTGGCAGTCGCATCAGCACGCCCAACATACATCCCTCGGATTGTTTCATGACGAGATGATGCCAAGTCCGGATAGGAGAGATTCAACTGTTCAAACGATACGAAGCAGCCAAACCGAGAGGAAGAGTAGCAGAAGTATGCGTTCATGTTGTTGTGCAAAATTATGAGAGGGAGGAGGAGCTCCTTGCAGGAGACGTTCAAAGAGAAGATGTATGTATAGACATAGTTATATATATATAAGTATACTAAATAATTAGGAACTCCTAGTAGCTTCTTGTTCCTAGTGGAGCCCCTAGTAGCGTCCTTGCTCCTAGTAGTAAGGCCAGGAGCCCCTAATAGCTTCTTGTTCCTAGTAGTAAGGCCAGGAGCCCCTAGTAGCGTCCTTGCTCCTAGTAGTAAGGCCAGGAGCCCCTAGTACTCGTAGCAGTAGCGATGCCAGGAGCCCCTAGTAGCGTCCTTGCTCCTAGTAAGGCCAGGAGCGCCTGGTAGCTTCTTGTTCCTAGTAGTAAGGCCAGGAGCCCCTAGTAGCTTGTTGTTGCTAGTAGCGATGCCAGGAGCCCCTAGTAGCATCCTTGCTCCTGGTAGTGAGGCCAGGAAGCCCCTAGTGCTCCTAGTACTATAGTCAGGAGCCCCTAGTAGCTTCTTGTTCCTAGTAGCGATGCCAGGAGCCCCTAGTAGCGTCCTTGCTCCTAGTAGTATGGCCAGGAGCCCCTAGTAGTAGCGTTCTTGCTCCTAGTAGTGAGGCCAGGAGCAGCCCTTCCCGACTCAGGGCACTCAAACCTACACCAGATAAACGCGCATGTCACCAGTGTTCACACCATTTTACCTAATTGTGATGTGTTTGGCCTTGGTTGCTGATGCCGGCAACATGGCGAAAGGATAGATTCAGGACTCAAAGAACTTTCACTACACTACAGGTCATCAACCAGTCCAGTTTTGTGTGCCACATCACCTTACAAGTGATAGGTCTTGTGTTTTTCTGTGAAGACGTGGCGCTTGAGGTGGACAATGTTGCGCGATGCAAGCGGCAAGCAAATGCCAAAGCATGAGGCCTAGTGCTTGCCCAGCCCCATGGACGGCAAGGGCTTGGAACCTTTTGTCAGTGGCGCAGTCAGCAAATTACTGAGCCACATGTTTATCAGGAAACCTCCCTACATCTCTATCAACTTGCTGAACAAAGTCACGCGGATGAACAAAGAGGGCAACAAGGACGCAAAACGCACAGTTTTCAAATCTTGTTTCTAATAGCAAACATTGTTACTAGTAGTACGGCCAGGAGCCCCTAGTAGTACCTAGTAGCGCCCTTGTTCCTAGTAGTAAGGCCAGGAGACCCTAGTAGCATCCTTGTTCCTAGTAGTTAGGCCAGAGCCCCTAATAGCGTCCTTGTTCCTAGTAGTAGGGCCAGGAGCCCCTAGTAGCGTCCTTGTTCCTAGTAGTAAGGCCAGGAGCCCCTAGTAGCGTCCTTGCTCCTAGTTGCTCCTATCTAAGTACGTTCGCTTCCCAAGTTTGAGGACACCATTCGCGTGTATAGCCGCCAGTCGACCATCATCCCAGCCATGATTGGCCATACCTGCGCTGTGCCCTCTGAGTTGTTTTTCCCCTGAAACATGACCGATATGGTTTCATGCGGCGTCATGCATTTCACTCAAAAAGTCTTTAGGTTTAACTAACGTGTTTGATTGTTTGTTCCATTGGACAGATCTCTCCATGCGAGGATGTTTGGTAGGCCAACCAAACTGTTACCGCATAGATGAGACGGTGAATGATGTTGTTCCGGGCCAAAGATATGCTCAGATAGGCCGTGGAGAACTCGTGTGGTTGGGGTAATGAAAGGCAAAAATGTGGACATGTGTTCACTGCCAAGACAGGTTTCGGTGTTGTGTTAGCTACCATGTTGCCGTATTTGTGTTTCGTTTTCAATCAAATTGAGTGCTGTTTGCTTCCGTCATTAGTCCTTCCTGTTGACACATGTTCGCCTTCGTGGCCTCAACCTTCTTTGCTGCCCATTTGGATTATTTTGGATTCGGTTTTGCTTTGTAGCTTTGGTGGTTTGTCAAGTCGATTCAATACATGTTTGTTGCGGCGCTGTCTTCACTTCGTTTTCTTTGGCGACGGTTTCTCAGCCTTGCTCGCAACATCTAGTCCCCGTTCTGACCAAGACCTCCTACTCCTACCCATTCGCTCTCCGTCACCAAGCCCTCACCTTTGGTAGTAGTTCAACATACTTTTTGGGTTCAAAACTGCAAACTCTGCAAAACATGAGAACTGGTCTCATTCATTTGTTTTGCAACTTCAGTTCGGGCGTCGGACAACCAAGCAACAAACCGAGCGCTGACTGGTCCGGAGTCTGTGGCGACACTCAGAGCTTGGTCACAGTTGTTCGGCCACAGCACCAGGGAAACAGAACTTCATTGTTTGATTTGTTCAGGTACACAATGGTCGCGACTTTGTGCCTATTAAGATCGATGATGGGATGGCATCCTCCTTGAGTGGATTTGACGAGAGAATTGGTAGTCTTTGTCAAGATTTGTGGTGTGTGGGCCTGTGGGCAATCATTCTTCGCCATTCTTCCAAGGTTGGCTTCAAAATCGGAGATTTTGTCCCAACGCACACCTTCACTTCACATCCCAAGCAAGCCAAGGGGCCAAGATCAGCTTCACTTTGGTGCATTTTGCTGAATGCAATGTTGCAACAGAAGATGTCCAAAACGTGTCACAAACATCTCAATACTCAATAGCAAACGGTTCATGTTCCAACTCAATAATGAGTATGTTCGGAGAAAAGAACATAATATGCTTTGACAAGCCAAATGTGGCACAATAAGTATACAAACGAAAGGAAATTGACAAGGACGAAGTCGGACGAACGGCACTCAGCGTAACTGGTGAGGCCAAGGTGACAAAGTACAGAGGCCGCTAAGACTAGTGTGAAGGCAACACGATGAGCGACTTCTCCCGGAAAAAAAGCGCAAAACACAGCGGAAATAGAAGGAGCTTTGAGAAAAGAACAACAAGAATTGGGCAAAGCAAGGAAGCATGAAAAGAGACAAGAAAAGGAAGAAGAGGAACAAGAGCGGAATGCAATTCAGAAGACAGAAATGGTGATGAATGTTATTTTCATCCTGATTTCATCCTCTTGTGTTTTTTGTCCAACGGCTTTGGCTCGTGTTGAAGCAAGAGTGTCACGATGTATGGGGGGAAAGGTGGGAGACTTAGCTGGAAATGAATGGTTGAGTGCCATTTCTGGAAACAAGAGGTGAACGTTTTCATTATTTTCTCCCTTCCTGTTGAACTGTTTGACATGTTGTTGCTCTGATTTCTCTTGGCTGTGCTTCTGAAGTTCTGGTGTTTCTTGTTCGTGCGTCAGGTTACTATGGCGGTCGAGGCCAAGAGCCCAGAGGCGACTGGGTGATGGGTGATGGACACTCTGTGATGCGTCTAGGCCGTTTGACCATCTTTGACCATCTTTGACCCAATAAATCCAATAACCACATCCAACATGGTCCCATTTGTGTGTCTCGTATCGGAGCAGACGCGTGGCCAATGTGTGAAAGAAGAAATGAGATCTCCCTTCCTGTTAAAGCATTGTTGTCAGCGGGTGCGAGCGCACGGATCGGGTGGTGTTCAAGAATCTCGAAAGGCGGACATTTGAGTTAGAGGCAGATAGCAATTAGATGCAATTAGAGTCTTAGACTGGTTTTGCAATCAAATTGCAAAATCATTATTCTTTCGAGATCTTTCAAGAAGTTTACTTGTTTGTCAGAATGTTTGCTTCAGTGCATGGAGAAAAAACAAACACAATATTGAGTATACTAATTGAGCAAGAAGCATCTAGATCACCGATCATAAAGGACAGCTTTGCTCACGTAGGAAACTTCGGAAGCACACGGAACTCTATATCCATTGCACTTCTTAAGAATGGGTTATCCACAATTGCTTCTTTCTATGTTTGTGTGTTTTGCCCTGATGTGTTTGCCCAGTGCGGCATTTTGGCATGTTGATTCAAGCTTTGGAGGGTCCAATACAAAGGGAAACCAAGAACCATCAAAAACCTTAGACTTAATAAAGGAGTTCAATGGAATTCATAATTTTAGTTCCTTCGTTGCGCCGATACAAGCAGGCATGCTTTGTTTTGCTTGCCGAGGAGTCTTCTCCCGTGATCGGGGCGACGGTTCGGGCCCTGTTCGGACAAAGACCGAGGCAAAAGCGGGAAGGCATCGGAACAGACCAGGCTAAGACGGCCAGACAATGCTAGACACCCCAAGCAAGAGACTTAAGATTTGGAACAAGAACGAAGACAGAGGACATGACGTGACGAGCAGTAATTACAAAGTGCTTGACCTCCATCCCGCTTCTATCAGACTTTGAGGCGCAGTGAGCGACCGAGGTCCGGATCTAAGCATCGGTTCAGCGCCAGACAATCGACCAGCATTCGTAGAATTGCCTTTCAACATGTTTCAACTACGTAGGCACAGAAGAAACATCTCCGTTCTTGTATGATTACTTTGGCTGTACTTGTATGCTTGGAAGCCATCGCGATTAGGTTGGAGGTACTCCATTCTTGTATGACTACTTTGTCTGTACTTGTATGCTTGGAAGCCATCACTGTTAGGTTGGAGGCCATCGCTGGTACTCCATTCTTGTATGACTACTTTGGCTGTACTTGTATGCTTGGAAGCCATCACTGTTAGGTTGGAGGCCATCGCTGGTACTCCGTCCTTCTATGACTACTTTGGCTGTACTTGTATGCTTGGAAGCCATCGCTATTA